CGCCCCCGGCCGCCCCGACGGCGGCCCCCGCGGCGCAGACGCCCCAGCCCCCCACCGCCCCCAAAGGGGCCAGCGACGCCAAGCTCTGCGCGCTCTACAAAGAGGCCGAGCTGCGCCTGAAGGGCAGCAGCAACACCACGGAGTGTGTACCCGTGCCCACCTCCGAGCACGTGGCCGAGATCGTGGGCAGGCAAGGTAAGCGGGAGCCGGGATCGCGGAGAGGGACTGGATGGGGGGCTCCCCATCCCTAGCGCGGAAAGTTCATTTCCTCTCTCCTTGTCCGCCTCTGGCTCTGTCCCTTCCTCACAAAGGGGGACCCGCCCCCTACCCTGATTTCCAAGTGCCACAAAGTTCCCTGCTCCCCCCCCCCCAGTCGGGACTGTACTCCAGATCCTTCCTCCCCCCAGGGCCCTGCCCTTAGACAAAGAAATATCCTCTCTTAGAGAGAGGGAAAAGGGAGGGGATAGGCCTCCCAATCCAGGGAGGCTGTCCTGAGGGGGTGTCCACTCAAAGCCAGAAAAACTGGAGGAATGTGCGAAGAGTTACTCAGAAGCCTCTACGCTGGCATCTGCAAGTGGGTTGGGGAAGGGGGTACCCCTGGGACCCCCAGCGGCCTGGAGTTACAGACTTTGGGGGAGACCTGGCCCAGGGAGCCAGACTGAGTATCTGTCTCTTTGTTGGGCTGAGTGTAGGAATGGAAGGGGGTGTGGCTCATGGGAGGGTCCCAGCCTTGGGGAGAGATGGGGAGGGGGCTCCTGGGAGGAGGGAATCCTGTGGTCACCCACATACCAAAGTTGAACGTCTGTGGGGTTTTGGATGGGGTGCCTCCAGTGAAGTGCCACGTCCTGGTGTGGACCTCTCCTCCTCCCTCTCGGCTTTTGTTCTGGGCTAGCCACGGCCAGGGGCCAGAGGCCTGGAGAGGGGTCTCGGGTAGTGAGCGAGCGGGACAGGGCTCGAGGGAGCGTGCTGGGGGGTGAGAGACCTTCACCTGGAGGTTTGGTGCAGGGCCTGTGTCTGGGTGCCTTTGGTGGGGGTGTAGAATTAATCCAGTGTAGTCTGTCTGATACCACACCCTCCTTCGCTCCAGCATCCCTGGGCGGGTGGTGGGGGTGGGAGTGTTGGTGAGGGTCCAGATTGAGCAGACGGGATCTTGGGGACCCTTCCCTCTCCCGGTTTCCCAAAGGGGAGTGGGGGGGGCGGGATTTGGAAATTGCTAGGGGGCCGGGCTGGAGAGGTGGGGTGGGGGAGGAGCAGGGGAGGAGCTGTCCCACAGTGGGGAACAATAGAGGCGCTGCATTCCGGCCGGGAGTGTAGGGAGGAGGCCGGTTGCTGGCCGGGGCGAGCGGAGGCGAGCCAGGGGGCCCTCATCCTCATCCCACCTCATGCCCCTGGAGTGCTGGGGGCTGGGGGCGTTTTGCAGGGAGATCCAGAATGGAGGAGGGGCAGACAGATGCCACTGGCCTGCACAGCCCTCATCCCCCCCCCCCAGGGCACTCCATCGCTTGAGATTTCTGATTTCAAAAGTTGGATTTCCTCTTGTTGCCAGAAACTGGGGACCCAGAGCCCTGGAGTTGGGTGGGGGCACTGATGTCTTTTCTCGGGTGTGGGGGTGGTCTTGGGAGGCCCCCGGAATTTCACGGAGTCATTCTTTCCTCTTCTGCCTCCGCATCAGACGGGCCTGCCTCTCATAAAAGTAGGGGGGTTTCTCCTGTTCAGACAGGATAAGCCTCCCCTCCACTCCTTAAGTCTATGCAAGTCCTCCCCCTTGTCTAAACTCCCATCTCCTGCTGCAGTGTCAGTGCTCCTCTATTTGACCTCTAGGAAGGTGAAGCCCAATGGGTCTTCCCTTCAAGAGATGCCTCTTCAGCCTTTCGAAAGCCAGGGTGAGGTCCCCCACCAGCTCTGCACCTCCAGGCTGCCAGCTCTCCTCCTTACTCTTAGGCCCTGGCCTGTCCTCACCCCAACCCCAACCCCAACCCCAACCCCCAGAGGCACGTAGCTCTCAGCTCTCCCAAAACTTCAAGCCAGAACGCAGGTGCCTATCAGATGCCATGTGAGTAGAAGTTGTAGGAGAGGGGACGTCCCTGGTCCTCTATACTCCACGCCTCACAAATAGAACACTTATGTGCATTAAAGCAGCAAGGATGTGAGCTCGACAACAGGTAGGACTTCTCCACTGCCAAGAGGTTTGAGGACAAAAAGGGAGGGGCAGATTCTCCCTCCTGAGGTGTCCTGAAGGTGAGGTGAGCTGCCCCCAACCCCACTCTGTTGTCACACCCCGCCAGTGTGTTAGGGTTGGAGAAGCCATCTGGAGCAGAGGAAGGAGAGAAAGAAAAGGAGCTCCCCTCGGGCCTGTGGCTGGAGGGTTGGGGCAGTCAAAAAAACAAGGACTACTGGCCTTGGTTTTTGGGGGGATAGGTAGGTAGTGGGGGGGGGAGTGAGAAAGGGGATGGTGAGTGTGTACCTGTAGAGGGGTGCAAACCCTCCATTTGCGAATGGGTGAAAGTTGTGGGGCAGGGGCTCCTGTGCTGTTTGTACTGGGGAGGGGAGGGGTGTAGGAGTCCCGGAGTAGAGGGAAGGTCAGGAGGCAGCCCGTGTGAGCGTGAGAGAGGTGTGTGCAAGTGCCCCACCAGTATTGTTTAGAGAAAGGTACACGGTGCAGCATGGCTCTCAGGCCTGTGTGTGTGCAAACTCACACACGTGGCACGTGTGCTTCAAGAAAGCCTGAGTGGTTCTGTGCGAAGCCCGGGGCAGGGAGAGGGGACGTGGAGGAGGAGAGAGGCTTGTCCGGTCAGCCATCGAGGTCTACAGCCTTTGGAGATGGAGTGGCCCGCCCAGCCTCCCTCACTCTTCTCTTTCCCCTTCTCCCTCTTTGTCTCTTTGTCTTGGCTTTTTTCTTTCTCTTCCTGCCTCTCTCCCCGGTCTCCCAGCTTTAACCCACTCCTACTTCAAAGCAGGAGTATGGGTCCAGAGTACCTTCTACCTCACCTTATGGGCCCCCAGCCCCTCTCAGCTCTCCTGCTCCCAGGGGACAGGGTGGGAGAAGTATCCGTGGGGCCCCATGCTCTCTCCCTCGCGAGTCATTCATTATCTTTATCTTCATACTCCTCTCTTCCCTCCTGAAACTGATTCTCAGACCTTTCCCAGCCTCCCACACGCCACTACTTGCTGCTAAGTTGCTGAATTTGAGAGACACTGGTGGGTGGAAGGGGTGGGGACGGTCCTAGAGCAGGTGGGGGTCAGCGGTCCCTGAGTAGGTTGGAGGACACTTGTAGTGAATGGACGTCAAGCGGGGAGTAGACTGTGGGGTTACTGAGGGCACTGGGGTCCTGTGGAGTGATCAGGGTCAGTGACAGTTGGGGGGCAGGGGGTGTGATTAAATGATTTGGAAGTTTGTGAGTAGCCAGGAATCAGTAGAGAAATTGAGGGAGCAGCACGTGGTTGGAAAGGAATTAGTGCACAGATTGGAGGTTAGCAGCTTGTCTGGGAGGTTCGGTGATTATTTCGGGGTTTCAAGGAGTGAGTAAATTTGGAGGGTCCTAAATGGAATTCGAGGAAAAGTTGGTACATTTGGAAATCTGTGGCTGATTTCCACACGATGTGTGGATTGTTCAAGTCAGGGTGGGGGTAGATGGAGAGTTTTTTTTGGGGGGGGGAGCGGCAGGAGCACAAACCTTCGTGCCCAGTGAGTGTCTTTCTCAACCCCCTTCCCTACCTATCCCAGGCTGCAAGATTAAGGCTCTGAGGGCCAAGACCAACACCTACATCAAGACTCCGGTGCGGGGCGAGGAGCCAGTGTTCATGGTGACCGGGCGGCGGGAGGACGTGGCCACAGCCCGACGGGAAATCATCTCAGCAGCTGAGCACTTCTCTATGATACGCGCGTCGCGCAACAAGTCGGGCGCCGCCTTTGGCGTGGCGCCTGCCCTGCCGGGCCAGGTGACCATCCGTGTGCGAGTGCCCTACCGCGTGGTGGGGCTGGTGGTGGGCCCCAAGGGGGCAACCATTAAGCGCATCCAGCAGCAGACCAACACGTACATTATCACGCCAAGCCGCGACCGCGACCCAGTGTTCGAGATCACGGGCGCCCCGGGCAACGTGGAGCGCGCGCGCGAGGAGATCGAGACGCACATCGCAGTGCGCACCGGGAAGATCCTCGAGTACAACAATGAAAACGACTTTCTGGCGGGGAGCCCCGACGCCGCGCTGGACAGCCGCTATTCGGAGGCCTGGCGGGTGCACCCGCCCGGCTGCAAGCCACTCTCCACCTTCCGCCAGAACAGCCTGGGCTGCATCGGCGAGTGTGCAGTGGACTCTGGCTTTGAGGCCCCGCGCCTGGGCGAGCAGGGCGGGGACTTTGGCTACGGAGGGTACCTGTTTCCTGGCTACGGCGTGAGCAAGCAGGACGTGTATTACGGGGTGGCCGAGACCAGCCCCCCGCTCTGGGCGGGCCAGGAGAACGCCACGCCCACCTCGGTGCTCTTTTCCTCCGCCTCCTCCTCCTCTTCCTCTTCCGCCAAGGCGCGCGCTGGGCCCCCCGGAGCGCACCGCTCTCCTGCCGCCTCCTCGGAGCTGGCCGGACTCCCGAGACGCCCGCCGGGGGAGCCGCTCCAGGGCTTCTCCAAACTTGGTGGGGGCGGCCTGCGGAGCCCCGGAGGCGGGCGGGATTGCATGGTGTGCTTCGAGAGTGAGGTGACTGCCGCCCTTGTGCCCTGCGGACACAACCTGTTCTGCATGGAGTGTGCAGTCCGCATCTGCGAGAGGACGGACCCGGAGTGTCCTGTCTGCCACATCACAGCCACACAAGCCATCCGAATATTCTCCTAAGCCCCTCCGCCCCGCGCCTCCTGGGGCCACTCCCCAGGGGCCCGTCCCTCAAGCTGTTTTCCACTAGGGCCTTTTGGAAATCAGTAATTTGAAGGGCAAGGTGCTTAGAGATACTCGCCGCTGGGGAGGGGGGAAAAGGGGAGGCGATGGTGGCTGGAGGGTGGGCCACTTTCAGAGCCTCTGGTCACCCTGCCCTGGAAAGGTTGGGAGGGGGCCAGATCGAAAATTTACTAGAGTTACAACTCTGATACCTCAACACACCCTTCAATCTGGAAGCAGCTAAGAAACTTTTGTTTTGCCAGAGGTGGCAGCTAAGGCATCCTGGTTCCCTCTGTCCACCTCCCTGTGTGTGTCACACTACCCCTCCCTCTGTGGAGGGGAGGGGGTGGGAGAGGGAGAATTACCATCTGTATCTAGAGGTGCTCTTTCTAATCCCCAAGCCCTCTGGTCCTGACCTCAGACCTCCTAATGTGACCCTTGGACCCTCCACTGCCATATCCTGTTTGGGAATTCTTGCTGGGTTTCCAACAGGGGGAGGGGGTCGGGGCCCTTTTAGAAGACTACAGAGATTGTAGGGGGTGGGGGAAGCATGCCAATCAATAAAGGGCTCAGACTTGTCTGTCCCCACAAAGCTGGGCTAGAAGAACCTGGTGGGGGGGGCCTCCCTCTGCCCCTTCAGCTTTTCCGTCCCCTCATTTCCCATATTTCCTCCGTTTGGGTCTCCTTTCTCTCCCACCCTGTCTTGCTCTTTCTCTTTCTTCATTTCCCCCCTACCTCCTGCCCCTTCCAGCCCAGCTTTGGATACCATCCCCCTCGGGAGAAGTAGGGTAAGGACGTTTTTGGTGGTCCCCTTAATTTTCTGTCATCTGGAGGCCCTCTCCCCAACTCCTCCAAAGAAACACCTCGAATTCTTGATGGAATGTATCCCCGTGCTCAGTGAAAATTTGAGGAGGGGCTAGTACTAGGGATACATAAAGGGCCAATCCTCCACCTGCATCATCTTTGGGCATTACATTTCTTCGGGAGCAGTTCTTGGGCTGCATTTCCTGGCGGTGGGAGGGGCAGAGCAGGGTAGTGGGTCCGCTGTTTCAAGGAGCCAGGAAGGGCCTGAGGCAGGAAGAGAGGCTGCTGGAGGGCAGGGCTCTCCTCCCCTGCAGCACCCCAGTCCTGGGCCTGACCCCAGCCCTTATCATGGAGTCTCTGCCCTACCCACTGTGACTGAGGATAGAAGCCAGGTCTCAGAGGGGTCAGTGCAGGGCCCATGCGAGAACCTTGAGTTACAGGCTCACACCCCCTTTGCTGCTTCCCTACTGCTCACTTGGGTCTGCCACCAGCCTCCCACTCTCCTGGTTCCGCTGGCCGGGCCGGGAGAGGATGGGGGATGAGAGTCCCTGGGGGTCCCAGGAGATTCTTGTATATAGTGGGTGGGACTGTTGTAAGTGATCTCTGAGCATTTCAGCTCTGGAGTCCCATTCTTCCTGGATGGAGAGGGGGTGCAGGGATGGGGGTACAGAGGGGATCTCCTCCTCTCCGTCCTGTTGTGAATTTACTCACCTCTCCTCAGCCTTCCCCTCCAGACCACCAGCCAGGGAGGGGAGAGGAAGGAGGTCACAGCCAGGAGAACTGGCCTGTGACAACTTCCCTCCTTCCCGCCAATGTGAGCCATCCTGAGATGTCTGTACAATAGAAACCAAACCAAATGGGCACCCTCGGTCGTATGGGGAGGGGGGGGGCGGGGATGGGATGTCTGTCGATCCCCCTCCCCCTCTCTACTCCTTACCCACAAAGGCAGAAGACTGTTAACACTAGGGGGCTCGGAAAATTCAATCGCACCCTTACTAATTGAGCCAAACCTAGAAACAACAAAAAACATACATAGTGAGAGACAAAACAGAGGAGAGAGGGAGAGAGGGAGCCAGATAGGTGACCAACACAAAGGAGAGAAGACAAACCTAGCAAAAAAAAAAGAAAAAAAAAAGCAGTTCTTTATAATTTAATATTCTATTTTAATAAAGGCGTTTATTACCGTATAAATGTAGCAAAGAACCTGGGCTAATATGAAAAAAAAAAGACTTTTTATTAGGTAATTTATTATATGAAAAGGATATTTTATTTTATGATAAAGTGATCCTTAAAAAAAATAAAAAAACTTTAGAAGGTTTAGAATATATGTAGGGAGAGAAAAAAAATACATTTGTATTCAGAGTTAAATCTTAAAAAAAAAGTGTTTTTAATATATGTTCGGGTTTACGTTCCTTTTCCCCCCCACTTTTTTTTGGGGAGGAATGTCATTTGCTTTTCCGGGGGTGGGGGGGGCATCCTGGGATGGATGGTGGAGATGGACTAGGGGAGCCTGGTCCCTCTGGGGCCCCTAAGTGGATTGGATTTCACTCCGCGGGCCCTCCTCCCCTCTTCCTCTCCCCCTCGGGGGAGCCGGCAGAGCCAAACAAAGAAAGGGATTAATAAGAAAGGAAGACGCTGGAGGACTGAGGACTGAGGATCCTGGGGTGCCCCCCCCTTCCCCTGCCCTGTCCCAGGGGCAAGTGAGGAGGGCAAGTCCAGAACAGGCCTGGCAGGTCTACAGGACCCTCAGAGAGGTGTGAGATGTCAGAGAAATTGCTTTTGTTTTTGTTTTTAACCAAAAATGAGAGAGAAGAAAAAGAAAGAAACCGAGGGGTTTAAAAGAAAATACTACAAAATAATAATTATTAATAATAATAATTCAAATTTATTTCATATAATCCTAGAGAAAAAGAGAAAGAATTACTAGTTACTTAGTAGATGATATTCAGATAGCTTAAAGTTTAGTAGCATTGTGGGCCCCTGGGTCCAGTAGAATGTATAAAAGTAAGGAAAGGAAAATAGTGTCTGACCCGCCCTGAGTCACCCCATCTTCAGATATTAGGGTGGGAGCTTCCGGTCTGCTGGGGTTGGTTCTGAGAATCCGTGGGTTTTTAACTTGTGGGACAAATAGATGAGGGGCTCAGTTCCCAGGGTTTTTGAAAGGATGGACGTTTCTCATCTCAACCAGATGGGGGCAGCAGAGGGGGCGAGCACGTCAGCCCGCACCCCAGTACCTGGGGGCCGGTCATCCTGGCTGGCCAGTCTGCTGGGCAGCCCTTACTCCAAAGTGCTGTGTTCAGCCTTGGGGCTCCCTGGGAGGATGGAGACTTGGCCAGCTCCAACGCGCCTGAGCCACGTCCTCCCAGGCCTAACAGGAAGTCCTTCTTGAAATGTAACCTCAATCCACTTCACTACAGATTGATTCAAGAGCCTGGCAGTTCATGCCACGGACGGATGCACACACTTCTCACCTCAGAGCTTCGAGGGCCCTGAGGGGGTCCGTCCTCCATCCCTCTTCCCACCAGCACCCCACTCGGCTTTTGGCAGCGGTGGGAGTAAGAATCTCAATTGTTCCTCTTTAAAAGCAGTTCTGTGCTTGACTGTCCCATAGAAGTTAGATTCCAAGAAGGACTTCCCACCCACTGGGGTGCAGTGGAGACACTGTCCTTGAAGGCCTGGGAAAAGGGGCCCCCAGGGGGGTGGAGAGGTGGGGGGGCAGCAAGAGACTTTGGGTGACCACCACCTCCATCGGTTAGTGTTCAGGGAGGGGTCATCCGCTGAGCCCTGGTTTGGGGGAACACTGCCTTCCCCACTGAAAATTGGGGAGCGTGGCTTTTGCATGTGGAAATCAAATTTTTTAAGCACTTGCCTTCTACCAACCCCAGCTTGCAATCGGGTTAGGCCCCTCCCTCGAGGCTATCGCAGGGGGCGGCGGCTCTCAGCAGGAAGAGCCTGCTCCTTTACACCAATGACTCAAGCCCCTCCTGGCCCTAGACCCCAAACATCTCCCTCTCCCCATTTACTCTTCTCGCCCCACCTCGGACAGATTATCCCCTGCTCTTTGTCCTAGAAACCCCGCTAGTTTGGGAAGGTAGCGTCTGGGGTGGGGAGGGCTTCCCCTTCACCACTCGAGGGTGCGGGTGGGGTAGGGTGGGTGGGTGGAGACAGCCCTGGGGCAGGGGGGATGGTCTCTCCACTGTAGAAAGTAGAGTAGGATTGTGGTCAGACTTACTCTGAGGCATCTGGTGAGGACACGTACAGATCCACCAAGGAAAAAATAGTTCGAAAGCAAAGTAAAGGCGGGAAACGAAACGGACCCATGAATAACCGAGTCCAAGTGATGTTGCACAAAATGCAGAGAAACCAAGAAGGGGGAGGGTTAATGTATTAAATGTGCTATTAAGAACTTAATTTTATTAAAAGTATTATTACTTAAGGCTCTGGCTTTTCTCTCTGCATGCAGGCGTTGTGGCCGGGGGTTCTATGCAGGGCAATTCTGGGTGCCTCTACTCACCCCGGGGGCCATGGATGGCTCCTGTGTGCTCTCCACAGCGCCCCACTTGCCCCTATTTCTAGGGGGTGCAGTCAGACCCCCTTCCACCCTGCCCTGCAAAACGGGAAGGCAAGGCAGGGTGCCCGAGACCCTGCCCTGACAGCCAACTCCTAGTCTTGATGGAGAAGGAACTGAGACAGACCCACCCCACTTCCTCCCACCAGATTCAGTCCGTCCCTACACACCACACCCCCTCTTCTTTGGGCTCGGCAGAAAACTGGATGGAGGACTCGGGCCTCCCACCTCCCAGGCTGAAACCCCTTCTTGCCCGACGCACACAATGGGCTGGCGCTGACTCCCCCTCTCTCTCACGTCTCCCCTGCCTCCTCCCCTCACCCCTGGCATTGGCGTGACCTCAGTTCTTGGCACCAGGGCCCTGGGCACCAGATGGTGCCCGCCGATGGTTTCCTTTGTCTTGCCTTCCAGATACCCCCTCTCTGCCATGCTGTCCTCCCTCCCCCACCTGCCCTGAGGGTTGGCAGAGGAAAGGGTGAGCACCTCCCACCCCCTTGGCACTGTCCCCAGACCACAGGACTCCAGAGGCAGCTGGCCCTGGGGGACAGTGGGGATGGTGGAGGGGATGAGGGAAGGGAGGGGCCGGAGTTGAGGGAGGCAGCAGGACGGCCAGGCGTCGATACAAAACAGTTTATTTGAGGGCCTTAGTCTGTGTGTGAGGGTGCAGATAATAGAGTGACGGGGGCGTGAAGACCTCAGAACTCTGTGAGGCTGTGAACAGGGAACTGGCACGCTGGCATCTGGAACCGCAGGGCAGGGAAGGTCCTGCAGCTGGTGTGGGGTTGGGGGTCAGGGCTGGTGCCAGCTTAGGTCAGAGGTTGATGCAACAGGACCTCTTCTCACCAGGGCCGGGCTCCTGTCCAGCCTGAGCACTGCCCAAGGTGATGGCGTTGGGCCGCATGCTGTTCTGCCTCTGCTTGGACACCTTTGCAAAAATCTCTGAGGGTGCAGAGGGCGAGGGTCAGGTCAGAAGGTTTGGAGCCCGCCCTCGAGGTCCTGTACACACACACACACACACACACACACACACACACACACGCACACACACGCGCCCCGCTACTTTCTGAGTACTGGGGGTGGCCACACCTAGAGGAGTTTTGCCCGAAGGCAGCAGAGCTGTGTCCCTTACTTGCCTGGGTGGAGAGGTACTAAGACAGCTCCCTGGGAAGTGTGGCCTGGTTCCTTCCCTAAGCTCTAGGCTGAATGGAGGGGCGCTAGGGAGGCTCTGAGGAGGCTGGGGGCCCACCAAGGGACTGAGGAAGCAGCGAGGGCAGAGAGGCCTGGGTGTCTGCGTTCCTACCACTGCCCACGGAAGTCTCAGGGGTGCGATGGGGTGCCGAATGGAGGCAGGGGCTCTGACCTTTGAGGACTGTCTCGAAGGCCAGCTCCACATTCGTGGAGTCCAGGGCTGAGGTTTCCAGGAACAGCAGTCCATTGTTTTCTAGCAGGAAAGGAAACACACCAGTAACTGCGGGGTTAAAGGCGACGGTAATGACACTTAATGTTTACTGTGTGCTAAACCCTTGGCGTGTGTAGCTCCTTTAATTCATAAAACAACCTGTGAGGTAGGTTTGAACACCATCCCATTTTTTGGAAGAGGGAACCGCAGCCCAGAAAGACAGAGGATGACAAAGAGCTTGCTCTTTGTCGTAAGGTGGGGCCGTTGGACTCCGAGCCCGCACTCTTAACCACTGTATCTTGTTGCCTCTAAACCCCAGAGGACTCCTGGGGAAGATGCGATGGGAGATGGTTGAGGGGGGCCCACCTGCTACACTTAGGGTCTCCGAGCACTGTCTTAAAATAAATAAGTGCCCATAGCGACGATCACAGGGCAAGTGGTGGGACATCACGAGGGACATAGGGACACAGAGAAGGGCAGGGAGACCCTGCGAAAGAGGGCATGGGGGAAGGGGGCCCCACGGAGGACGTGCAGCCTGGAGCCGGGGTGGGAGCAGGCGCTAGCTAGGATTGCGGGGGCAGGCGGGCGGAGGGCTCAGCCTGGGTCCCGCAGGCTCTCACCAGCGAACATGCGTGCCTCATCAGTGGGCACCTCCCGGGCCTGGCTGAGGTCACTCTTGTTGCCCACGAGCATGACGACGATGGTGGCCTCGGCGTGGTCATAGAGTTCCTTCAGCCAGCGCTCCACCACGGTGTAGGTCTGGTGCTTGGTGAGGTCAAACACCAGTAGGGCCCCCACGGCACCACGATAATACCTGTGTTGGGGGCACAGGGGTGGACAGAGGCGAGGGCAGGGTGGTTGGGTACAGCCGGAGCAGAGGCCTCAAGCCAAAAGCCACAGACGAGTACCAGAGACTGGGAAATATGAAACCTGAGATCCAGGGACCCAGCGCCGGACAGGGCTGCCCGAGGCCCTGGTGTCCGACGCAGGGGCCTTCAGAACACTGGTCTTAGAGCCTCGGGAAAGTCCCCCTCCCTGTCCTAAAACGGCTCCCTGCTTCCCTCACGTCCCCCTGCCGCCTCAGGTCCTTGGCCCTGATCTTAGGTCCTGCCATCCAGCAGCACGGACCTGGGCTCCTGGGTGCCCCACCTCCACCGTCTGCCTCACATGGCTGCCTGACCCACAGTCCCCTCTGCTCTCCTGTGGCCGCCCTTCTAGGACCAGCTAATGCTGACCCTGAGCACCAGCCCCTGACTGGACGTGTCCTCACAAGCGCCTAGCCCGGGTTCTCGAGCTAGCTAGAGCTACTTTGGATGGTGACATCTCACTGTTCCCGTTTTACCGATGCCTCAGTCCGCTGAGGCTCAGAGAGGCCAGGTGACCGCCCCAAGAGTGACAAGTGTGTGTGACTGAAACCCCTGGCCCCTGCTTTCTGACCCTGGCAAGCGCTGGCCCCCACCATACACACACAGACCCCTCTTCTCACATTTGGCCTGACAGTGGCTGGGAGCCACTCTGCTTGTGGTGTCTGTCAGGAAGCCTAACTTCCGGTGTGTCCTCTGAGTCCTCGTGAAATGCAGCTGAGGGGTCCAGCCCTTCACCTTGGCGGTTAGACGGCGAGGGTTGCACAGTGCTTTGTGAGAGCGCTGTCAGGCCCCGGGCCGGCCCCATCCCAGCCCCACCTGGATTCATGGGATGGCAGCCCCTCACTCCCGTAGTACCCGGAGGATGGCATAAAATGCCCAGTGTGAGGTGCCTGTGCCTTCCTGGACACACAGCAGAGGCTGTGGTGGCAATGACTCTTGCTTTGGGTCCCAGTGGTCAGGATCACTATGTCCGGCCTCAGACTATGTGTGGCTCACAGTACTTGTGTGTCCTAAGCCGGGCCGTGGCGACCTGCTGTCCCTGCCTCCTCCCGTCCTCCACCTGGCGTCCCCAGCACCCCCAGCCCCCGGGCTCACGCCGAGGTGATGGCTCGGTACCGCTCCAGGCCGGCCGTGTCCCAGATCTGAGCCTTGATGGCGGCGGTACCCAGCATGACGGTGCGCGTGGAGAACTCCACCCCGATGGTGGTGCGGCTGTCGTGGCTGAACTCGTTGCGCGTGAAGCGGGATAGCAGGTTGGTCTTGCCCACGCCGGACTCGCCGATCAGCACCACTGAAGGAATGGAGAGATGGGCTGAGCTGGGCAGAGGGGCCCAGCCCCCACTTAGCCCCGGGCTCTGCCGGTCAGTAGAGGGGAGCTGAGCTCAGAAGACCGAGCAAGGAGCCGGCGCTCCGGGCCCACACTGGGGTCTGCCGCTGGGCTTGTTGCATCCATGGGGTGGAAGGGCCAGGAGATGGACTCAGCTAAGGGGCTTCAAAGGTCCCAGGCCCCGTCCACGGAGACAAGGCTGCAGTCAGCCTGAGGTTCTGGGATGAGTGACGTCTGGGGGCTGTTCGTGGGGGTTGGGCGTTCCAGGGGCCGCGTGGGGAGGTTAGCAGGGCTGTGACTGGACAGGGATGGCAGGAGGCCTGGGGGAGGGTACGCACTCCTGGGTAGGGGACCCGTTGTTGTGCTTGTTTCTCTGTATATGAGCGGGGAGGACAAGTGGAAGGTTGGGGCGGGTGTTTGCTCAGGAGCAGAGGTGTGAATAGGAACGTGGGCAAGGACCAAGTTTGGCAGATGGCACGTCTGGAGGGGCGTGTGTTAGAAGTTATGATCCAGTTGTCCCCTAGGAGGGTCAGTCGTCTTGCAAGGTTGAGGCCATGGGGCTGGGTGTTAGACCCCCTGTGTGTGTCCTTCAGCAAGTTACTTAACCTCTCTGACCTTCTTTGTCATACGAAAAATGGGAATCACAATAGTACCTGTCTTGTGGGTTATTGCAAGAAGTAAATGAGACATTGCCCAGGATGTGGTGAGCGTGCAAAACCATTACTGCCATGACTGTGGTTGGTAGGTCAGTGCAGTTACCCTCAGGTTTTCAGGGGCGAGGAGCCACCAGAAGGGCCCAGCGTGAGCTGGGGGCTGGCGTCAAGTAGGGGCTGATGTGACCCACAGGCTGCCCGGCACTGAGCTGAGCAGCAGGATTAGAGGAAGTCACCCAGGGTGGTTATGGAAAGCAGGCTGGTGCCCAGGGACTGAGAGCCACACCTTCTGGGCTCTGGTTCCCCTCTGACTGGCTATGTGGTGGTGGTGACCTTGAGCAAGTGGCTCACCTTTTCTGGATTTGTTTCCTTGTTTATAAAACCTAGAAAAACCCCCTCCCCCAACTTAAAATGTTTCTTATTTGTGTAAGGCCGGAAGGAACTGGGAGCAGTATGGGTGTGTGTATGTTCCTGCCTCTCCCCTACTGGGAACCTCAGCCCCACTCACCCCTCCCGGTAGGTGGGCACCTAGGCTGGTCCTCAGGCCCCAGAGGTGCTCAGGCTGGGCTTTGGTGTCAGACAGACTAGGGTTTGTGCTGCCTTGTGACCTTTTGTAAGCTATTAACCCTGTCTCTCATTAGCATCTGTGGAATAGAGATCTCATTCTTAACATTTATCCCAGAGGCTTTCCACATATTAAGTCATTGCAAACTCACAACAGTGCCTCAGGCAAGTACCATTAGTATTATCATTGCATTTTTACAGACAAAGAAAGGAGGCACTTGGGGGGATTCAATGACTTGAGCAAGATAACACAGCTAGTGTGGTAAAGAAACACAGGTGCACTGCCCAGATGTGTCCTCCAGGAAGGACTTGCCCCAGCCCAGGGAGTGCCGTCAGCAGGCAGCCTCCAGCTGTCTGCTCCTCCAGCACCTGCCTCCGCGCAGCGAGCAGCCTCACCTGAGGTCACACCCCCGGGGCAGCCTGCGGCAAGGCGAAGGGATCGCGGGGCTCCCACCCTTGGCTCAGGCCTGGCGACCCTGTCTTGTGTTTTAACTTCCCTCTCTGCCCAATCCTGCTTCCTCCCAATTCCTTTCACTGGTGTTGGACCATAATAAGCATCTTTGCACCCCAAACTTCTGGAGACCCCAACCTGCAGTAAGTAGTAACTGGCGGGGCTGAAATCAGAACTCAGTCTGGCTCCTGACCATTACGCTTTCAACATGGAAGAGAACTTTGGGGGCTGTCGTGGTGACTAAGGAGCTAGAGCAGCGGTTCTCAACCTGCGGGTCGCGACCCCTTTGGGGGTCGAACGACCCTTTCACAGGGGTCGCCTAAGACCATCGGAAAACAAAAAGATATTTACATTACGATTCATAACAGTAGCCAAATGACAGTTCTAGAGTAGCAACGAAAATAATTTTATGGTTGGGGGTCACCACGACACGAGGAACTGTATTAAGGGGGTGCGGCATTAAGAAGGTTGAGAACCGCTGAGCTAGAAGCTGGCACGTAGTAAGAGCTCAATAAACGGTAGTTATTAGTAGTATGTTTACCCCAGACTATCGCTAACTCTTATCCTCTCTCCCTTCCTGGGAAAGATGCTGGGAATACAGGTTCCCCAGCCTCTGGTCGCCTGAGTCCCAAATGCGGGTGGGGCTGAGGCTGGGAGAGGCAGTGGGGTGGGGTGGCTGGCCAGTCCACCCTGCCCTGAAGAAGGTGAGGAGGTGGGGGTGGGGCACAACAGGGGGGTGCCAAACACAGGGGCTGAGAGAAAAAGCAGGAAGGGCACGTGCACATTTTCAGGGACAGCCAAGCTGAACCCAGTGCCTGGCATTTGGGGCCAAGGCCTCGGCTGTAGGAGTCCTTTGGGTCCTATTAGACCCAGCTCCCAATTCATTCCATCTTTCCTGTATCTTCACCCAGCCCTATGACGGGATAGGACCCTCCTTTCTCGCCTTTTCTGTACATCTGCCCAGATAAATGACTTTCTTCCTCTTAAGTCTGCCTGAGGGAAGTCTTGTCTGAGGTCTGACCTCCATCCCTTACAGCTGCAGTGGCTGACTATTCCTAGGGATGTGGCGTTAAGAACCTGGCAGAGGAGCCTAACTCGGCACTATTAGGGAGAGAGGAACACGTTCTTTACAACCTGGAGCATTAAGTCTGCCCCAGAAACCAGACCCTCCCTGCGCCCTGCAGGTTTTTTTCTTATCCAAACTGATGGGCCCTGGGTGGGGGTGGGAGGGATTCCTGATTAGAGATTAAAAACAAACAAAACAGGTTTATGCCTCCGGCTCTGTTGGTCTCTTCCTGGGTTTCCCAGGCCTCCGCTTTCTTTACGAACCCCAACTCACCCTTGAAGACAAAGTTATAATCTTCCTCCGTCCCGTTCCCCATCTCGGCTCCACATAAGAGGGTACAAGTGTCTTCGGGGCACAGGTGACAGTCTACGCGTAGGCTGGGTGCCCTCAACCTTCAGCTCTTAAGAGACCTGGATCCAACCCTCCTCTCATTGGGGGTAAAGGAACTTGCGCAGCCAGACAGACTGAGGGCCGACGTGAGGCTAGGTAAGAGCTGGGGACGTTCCACTCTGGCAGGTGGGGGTGCTGTAAGGAAGCTGAGAGGACGGAAGCTGAGAACAGGAAGAGCAGGGCGCAGGAGACCTGGGGCCCAGGTGGGTGGAGACGATGACGTCAGACAGGTTAGACAGGTTGGGTGTCTGCTCTGGGCCTGGGCTCCTGCAATCAGGTGAGCAGGCTCCAGGGGGTGGTAGCGGGGTAGCTGGGTCAGGCAGGACCTTCGGAGAGATAGCTGAGGACCGAGTGCGTGCTGCTAGGTTCCTGGGACCTGTGGCCAAGGGGGGGTCCAACCGCCAGTGAGTCACAAGGCCCCTCAGGGAGCAGACGCTTCCTTGGCCTCCTGCTTTTCCTTCAGAGCCTCTGGTGGAGAGTCACTGGGGGCACCAGAGAAAGGGCTGATGGGATGGCAGTCACCGGCCTGGGTGCAGAGCTCTGGGAGCTGCATCTTGGGTCCGGCAGCTCCTGCCCCTCCCTGACAGCCCTGGGCCTGGGAGGGGCAGCATTTCTCACCCTGGGTGGAGCTGGAAACTTGCCACCTACAGGCTTCCCTGGGATGGGTCCCTTCCTACAGCACTGGGACAGGTAGCCTCGCGCCCAACCTGCTCTAAGGACACTGGCTGGGGGAGGCCCGGGGAGAAACAGCCAGATGGGGTGAGGGGTGTGAGTGTAGGGCCTCTGAGAGGTCTTTGAGCTTCCTTCAGATCACTGCCCGAAACGGAACCTGAGGCCTCACAGCAAAGCGATTGTATCTGCAAAGGCCTTCAAGACCTGGAGGTGTGTAAGCATGTGAAGAAGGCCTGGGAGAGGAAAGGGGTGGCCCCCTCCCAACCCCGAGTAGGAATGGCACCCCGCCAAAGTTGGGACCTATGGACACTGAACCCCCTGGCCCCGTATTCTCTTTGATCAACACGACATCCACTGGCCCCGTTCCTCGGAGCTTACTTCCAAGGTTTTGCCCACCAGATGGGTGAAGTTCTGAGTGGCGGAGGCCAGGTGAGGTCACACCACTGGGGATCCTGGTGGGGGAGCAGGACGTGAAGAACCCTGTAAGCCAGCCCTACTGCTGCTTTCCATCCCCGCTGACTCCTCCCAGCCAAGAAAGCAACCAAGACAAGACACAAGACAGGACTGAAATTTATTCTTGGAAAAAACAAAGTCCCACCCTCCCCCGCCACAGCCCAGGAAGGATTCCCTAGGGGGCCCTGCCCCTCCAATGGTCATCTCTCTCGTCGGACCCCAGCTTCCACCAGTGCCCGTTACGACGCTGCTACCTGGGTGAGGGGTTCCTCCAGGTACTGCACCAAGGCCTGGGCCTGCGGGAGAGGGAAGAGAAATCATTCCACACACGGCCTGCCACGAAAGGGACCCCAAATCCACGGGGACTCCCAATACCGAGCCCCCAACCCCCAACCCCACCAGACATGGACTGGGTGACACAAGAACCCCAGGAAGGCAGTGGGTATGGGAGCGGACACTGATGGAGCACAGGTCCGTGTCCCGCGTGGTAGAGCCAGGACCACACACATACCTTAGCCTTGAGCATGCCAAAGCCAACGGTCTCCTTGGCGTACATACACAGCAGAAGGTTGGCCACTCGAGTGATGGCCACACGGCCCTCCTGGGGGGGTGACATCATGGGATGTGACGCTCTGCTTGGCACCCTGAGCCCCCTTTCCCCACGGGCTCCTCGTGAGAGAGGCTGTATCTTCCTTCCATGCCCTGGGCAGGTTGGGAGCTTCAGCTGGGGGCTTTGGCCATAGCCCTGGACATCGGGTCCTGTGCCCAATTCCAGCCTCAGCACAGCCACTAACCAAGATACCCTGGAAAACTCCCAGAAACTCGGTTCTCTTTCTGTAACCCCTGCCTTGCCCCAGTTGAGGAAGGAATTCTGGGCCATTCAAATGGATGATATTATTATTATGGGTTCACCTCAGACACTGCAAGGGGCTTGAGAGCAGTAACCCCACTACTAGTTCTCCTCTTTTCCCATGGTAATGTTTTTCAAACTGCACGCTTGACCTCCGGGTTAGGAGATTAAGAAGGTTGATAGGCATTAAAATAAAAAGGAAAGAAAAGAAATGAAGTGCATTGCGTGTAGTAAAAGAAGTCCTGTCTCATGGAACTTGTTTTAGTGGATGTATGTGTGTACTGGGCTCCGGCATCAAATGTGTTTCTTCTGGCTGGGTTGTGGGCAAATGTTTGAAAGCTATTGCCCTGCAGCACCAGGTCTGGGCTAGGCATCCAGAAGGAGTCATGAGTTGAGCTGAAATGCATCCTTGGTTGGGCAGGGGGCGAGGAAGCGGTAGGCAGCTGAGTTACAGTGGAAATCCTTCACTCTTGAGGCCTTCTCAATTCAGTTCAGCAAACTTTCACTAGGTATCCAGTGTGTGCTGGGGGCCACATGCTGCCTCAGCTACTAGCCTCCCCCCATTCTCATGCCACTCCAGCCACATCAGCCTTGTTGATCTGTGACCAGGCACCATTCTGCCTCAGGGCCTTTGCACTTGCTGTTCCCTCCATCAGAAATGTTTATCCCCCAGACAGCTACATGGCTTACCACTTCAAATCTGTGGTGAAACATCACCTTTTCAGTGAGATTGTCCCTGGCATGTGCCTCTCTTATCTCACTTCCTTGCTTTATTTTTCTTCACAGCATTTTTAGAAACCTAACATACTATTTTCAACTTACATGTAAGTATATTTTTCTTAATCAAAGGATTAGACAAGGGTATGGAGACACTCATGGTTCTGTGAGTCAATGAATCTGGGATGACAGCACTTTGAGTGCATATCACTCTACAGTTTACATCCACTCTTTTATTTGATCTTCACAACAACCCTGTGAGGTGGGGAGTGGGGGTTATAGTTTCCACCTCAGAGCTGAGGTAGGGAAGCTCAGAGAGGTTAAGTAACTTACCCAAGGTTCCACAGCCGGTAAGTGGCTGGCTGAGCCCTGAGCCCCAGGCAGACCCGGGGCTCAGGGCTCCCTCCTCACCACCGCTTGATGCCTAGGGTTCTGCCTATTATAAATGCTGCTGCGGGCCAGCTCTTAGCAATCTTCCAGAGATCCTGCCCCTCCAACCATCCAGGACGGGGCCCAGGTCGCCCCCTGGGGATCCCCTTGGGGGACAGAGGAAGTGGCTTCCCTCTCCATACCATGCAGTCCATGAGGATGAATTTGAGATTGTCTTCATTAAACGCTTGGTTCCCGTTCCGGTCGTAGGCGGCCCAGATGTTACTGGCGATGGCCGCGGTGACCCGCGCGTCCGTATCCCCGTAACCGGAGTAGGCCAGCAGAGACCCCTCGTTATTCAGCAGCCTGGCGAGGAACGGGAAGGGGCAGCGACGTGCTCAGGATGGGGAGGAAAACGCCTGGGTTCCCATCCCAGCTCCCGCCACTGGCGCTTCTGGAAAGCAAGGGTCTAGGCTGAATGGGCCCTAGAACATGCCCAGAGCACCCAGCACGTCGGTTTCCCTTTTCGAGAGGGGCCCTCCAAGGCGGCTGCCCACTTTGCCTCTTCCTCCCTTCCCGGAGATGTTTCCCCATCCCTCCCTCGGAGAGCCGCGCGCAGCCCGACTCCAGCGCTCGCCGCTCGGGTCCTCGGTCCGCACTCACAGGGTGCTCTGGACACCTCCAGTGTTGGCTTGGCTTAGCACCTGGGTCAAAGCCTTGGGACGCAGCATGCCTGCAGTTCCGAACCCTGGGTTCTTGCACCCAGATCTCCCAGTTGCTTGCAGGGGGCCTCCGAACGGCCCCTTCCGGTAGTTCAGCTGACCTGCTCCGGAGGACCTTGGGAGTTGTAGTTTCTCCGCCTGGCTTTGTGGTGCTGGCTCAACCTCGCTCCGCCGCGGAGGGGACTGGGAATTGTAGTTCCTTGAGGCCTCGTAAGGCACCCTGGGAACGACAGTCCGCCTTTCCACTGAGACCACGCGGTTGTGGGGGGAAAAGAGCGGGAGTGAAAGGACATTGGCGATACTGGAAGGACATTTAACCCCCTCGGGAAGAGAAAAGTCATGTCCGCTTAACAATCCACGATTCAGTCATTAAAAAAAAGAAAAAACGACTGTGTTTGTTAGGCACACCTTTGGTTACTTTTCAAAGCAATTTTCTACATGATGCACAATTCTGTGAGATGAAGCCATAGATACTATTGAGGAAGCCAAGGCTCGGGAAGTCCTCGCAGGCAAAACCCTGGTCGCTGGGACAGTACTTCACAGAATTCATTTCGGCCACGACCCTCGGGGGAATGAAAAACATCCTAGAGATGAGATTTTAGCTGGACGTGCAGAAGTGGGAAAAGGCAACCTCCCAGTCGGCAGAGGCCCCCAGGCCAGCGGAGGGTTTGGGCTTCTCGAGAAAGACCAGCTATCGCAGGGGACGCAGATAAAGCGGCGACACGGAGAGTCCTTTGTCCTGGAGCGGGAGTGACCCGCCGTGGGGGCAGGGGCAGCTTTGGGCCGGAGGGGACCTCAGCTCGGCTCTGGCCCGCTCGGATGGGCCGTGGTCTCCCGCGGGGCGCTCGCCCCTCGCCCCAGTAGGGAGGGACATGTCCCGCCCCGGTCCCGAGCCCCCCCCAGGGGCCGCCGCCCAGCGAGGCCCAGACCAGGCTGCGGGACCCCGGGCTCGGCCCTGGGCAGACCTGATGCAGTGGCCCCCCCAGTCCGCCCGGGGCGCTGTGGCTGCCGCTGGTCCGGAGGGGGGCGGTGAAGCCTTGGGGAGGGGAGGGGAGGAGAGGGGAGTGTTGGAGGCGCCCGAGCCGAGCCGAGCCGGGCCGGCGGGGCGGGAGGGGAGGAGGAGGAGGAGCCGGAGCGGGCTGGCGGGCGGCCGGGTGGCGGCGGCGGCGGCGGCATGGCGGAGCCGAGCGGGGCCGAGACGAGGCCCCCCATTCGGGTCACCGTCAAGACCCCCAAGGACAAGGAGGAAATTGTGATCTGCGATCGAGCCTCGGTCAAGGAGGTACTACGGGCGTCGGGGGGAGCGCAGAGGAGGGGTCCGAGAAGAGAGGGGGGTGGTTCGGGACGGCCGGGCGCCCCGGAGGGCCTGGGAGAGGAGGGCGGGGGCCCAGCCGGCCTCAGGAGCGAGAAGGGAGGAGAGGCGGGTCGGGGGCGTCCTGCGAGGGTAAGTTGGGGGAGCGTGGCGCGCGTGTTGGGGAAGGGAGGCCGGGGTTCGCCTTGTGGCCTGGACTGGGGGCGTGGTGGAGAGTGGGGAGGGGGACACCTTGCGCTGGGAAGGGGCAAGGACCCTGGGCTTGCGCCCCGGTTACTTAGAGGGGTTCGGGGCGCCGAGGCAGAGTGGGTGCCGGGCAAGGTGCTGAGCCGGGAGAGCGGGCGGGGGGCGCCGCGGAGACCTCGGGTGCCTACTGTGCGCCTGGGAGGACGCCCCGCCTTCTTCGCCGCCCCGGCAGTGGGGGGAGGATTTCCCTCTGCCCAGATCCTTCCTGCTCTTTCCAATCCAGGTGGTTACACTTGGTTCTCAGCCCTCCGGGATTTACACAGTGTGCAGTAGGTGCTCAATAAAAACGTATCGGATGAGGGAACGTTGCCTGCGTTCGCCACCCTCCTGTGGCTGCTCCAGAAATTCACATGGGCGGGGCTGACGATGGACCATCTGGTTGGAAGGGAGGGATCTGGAAGCTGCCTTAGCTTAGCAAGTGCACTAGTTTTGGAGCGCATGTTTGGTTTGGGGGCGCTGATAGATTTGGGAGTCTCACGCTTCCCAAGCCAGCCTTTAGTGCCGTCCCTACCCACCCCTAACCTTATAAAATGACTACATTCCATAATTTACATCCTCTCCCCTGCAAAGCTGGATTTGAAATCAGCTGTAATTGAGAGGCGGTGTGTTTGGTTAAGAGCCTGGGCTTTGGTGTGGAGACCTGAGTCCAGTCTGCCGCTGGCAAGTTACCTAACTGCCATGATCCTCAGTGTTCTCGTCTTTCTAATGGAGATAACGATTAACGTGAATCTCACAGGACCTAGACTCTTAATTCACGAATAGTTGGTGCCATAGTTGGTGCCGTTGTAATAGCTGGGATCTTTGTGTTGTAGTTGTTACAAGCACGCTGGGAATGAAGAGGGGAGAGAAAGGCGGGGGGGGGGTTTCTGAGAAGAGAAGGCTGGGGGAGACAGGGCCTGGGTCCAAGGCTGCTGAAGAGTGCTGCCCGGGGAAGGACCCTCAGGGACCTGGGCAGAGGGACCGAGGGGCAGGGAGGGAGGGCAGGTAGCAGAAGGGCTTCCTGGGATGGGAGGCCCTGGGCTAGGGTGAAGAGAGGAGGCGCTCAGTGGTCCATCGCCTTGGTTAACAAAGGAGCTGCTTATTGCCGCTGGAGCGATGGAGTCAAGACTGCAAGGGGACCTCCCACACCTAGAGGTGGCAGTAGCAGAAGGCAGAGGCTCTTGATGGGTGGAGCCCAGGCAGCCTCCACAGTGACCTCTGCCTCTTGATCACAGTTCAAAGAGGAAATCTCACGGAGGTTTAAGGCACAGCAGGATCAGCTGGTCCTGATCTTCGCAGGCAAGATCCTCAAGGATGGGGACACCCTGGACCAGCATGGGATCAAGGATGGGCTCACTGTCCATCTGGTCATCAAGACCCCTCAGAAGTAAGTTCAGGAGAGGGGCAGGCCCAGCTTCTCATTGGCCTGTCTTGCCCCAGCTAATACTTTCTCGCCCATCCCTCAACTCTGCCTAGGGGACCGTGGAAGGTAGCTCCTGGGTGGGTTGCCAGGCAGGCCTGTGACCTCACCTGCAGGGCAAGGGAGCCTGACTTAGGTCTCCCAGAATGCCCTGAAGACACGCGATGCTGGCTACTCCTTTCCTCTGCCTGATTTACAGCTGTCCCCCAGCATCACCCCACCCCGGCCTCTGGGTTGCTTAGGACGCAGCGTGGGTTCGGGCAGTAGCTGCACAGCAAACACGGAGAGGGTTGCCGTCCCTCTTCCCGTGTTCGTGGAAACAAGGATCTTCTTTCTCTGTCCTCAGGGCTCAAGATCCAGCTGCCGTCACCGCTTCTCCCCCCTCCACTCCAGACCCTGCCTCAGCACCCTCCACCACGCCCGCCTCACCCGCCACCCCTGCTCAGCCCTCCACCTCTGGCAGTGCCACCTCGGATGCTGGCATTGCAAGCCGAAGGAGCAGTGGGGGGGGCCCTTCCCCAGGGGCTGGGGAGGGCCCTCCCAGTGCTGCTGCATCCATACTCTGTAAGCCCTTAGGGAGGAGGGCACTGTCCTGTTTGGGGCCGGGGGTTGGGGGAGAACCAAGAGGTCTGATGGGGAGAGGGGACCCCTGGACATTGGTACGTGAGCCAAGTCGGGGAGGAAGCTGGCCTGTGAGGGCTTCCCAGAGGAGGGGAGCATGGCTAAGTGTTCAGAGTGAGAGAAGAAATAGCGCTGGGGATGTGCGGGACTCTGGGTGAGCATATTGGAGTCAGGGCTACTCAGCAGGCCATCAGTGGTCGTGCTCTGCTCAGCACTGTGCCCGGCTCCCAGCCTTTGCCACCACAGAGGGCTCAGCCCGAGGCTGACATCTCTGCCTGCAGTGGGTTGGGGCTGGTCAGTGGGCATGACTGGAAAAGGGAGACGTGAGAAGCAAGGGGGCCCATCCCAGAGACCTGAAGTCAGTGGCTCTGGCCAGGCGGGAGCAGGGCTCCCGCTGCCAACTGACTCCGCCCTCCCTGCAGCTGGCTTTGGGGGCATCCTGGGCCTGGGCAGCCTGGGCCTGGGCTCTGCCAACTTCATGGAGCTGCAGCAGCAGATGCAGAGGCAGCTGATGTCGAACCCCGAGATGCTGTCGCAGATCATGGAGAACCCACTGGTCCAGGACATGATGTCCAACCCCGACCTGATGCGCCACATGATCATGGCCAACCCCCAGATGCAGCAGCTCATGGAGCGCAACCCCGAGATCAGTCACATGCTCAACAACCCCGAGCTCATGAGGCAGGTGGGTGCGTGCGAGGGGTCAGCGGGGTGGGGGACCTGGTACCCTGTCGTGCCTGCCTGGCCCGGCCCCACCTCGTCCTGCCTTGACCTGGGCGTGCAGTCGTTCAGCAGCTGTGTCGTGCACGCTGGGGGTCCAGTGATGCAAAGACACACGCCTGGCCTTCCAGGAGCTGCTGGTGTCAAAGGAAGTGGGACGAGGCAGCGGGCAGTGATAATACGGTGTGCTCGCCACTACTCACAGGATCCCCTAGAAGCACATGGGGGTCGGGACCCTACCTTGGGAGGAAGTGTCACCCAAGCTGAGACCCAAAGGAGGAAGAATAAACCAGAGGAAGAAAACAGTTCAGGGCCGAGGGACAGCACGTGCAAAAGCTACGGAGTAAAAGATCGTGGGGTGTTCTGGGGACTCTGTGGCTGTGCAGGGCTGGGTGGGGAAGGGAGAGCCAGGGGACGCAGTTTAGTGTCCGTCTCTGGGAGCTCCATCTTACAGCTCAGCCCACCAGGGGACAAGGAAAGACTCTCTCAGCTGAGCTGTGGACACCATGCTGGACCCAGCAGAAGATAAGTCCCATAAAGTCAGGGATTTGCAAGTGTCCTCTTCAGTGTCCAGGACGGGGCCTGGGTCACAGCGGTCACTCAGTGAATACTTCCAGATGGCTGCACCTGGAAAATGAGATCAGAGCCTCATCTTAGACGTAAAGGTGCTCAGACGAGGCAAATGTGGAGCAAGTTTGGGGAGAAGGACAGGGAAGGCATTCCAAGTTGCATGGGAACAAGGAGAAACCACGCTCGTTTTCTGTCGGGCGCTGCTGTCCATGGAGTTGACACAGACCACCCCTTATTGAGAGAGCCATGGGCTCTAAAGAGAAAACCTCCATCCTGTTTCTCAAGCTTTAGTCCGGCCAGAGACCTGGGGGTGGGGGTGAGAGGGTGTTGGTAGCGTTGTCCCAGCTTGAGCCCTTTCCCTGTCCAGCATGTCGCTTGCCGGAGGCACAGGACGGTCTTGGTCGGACAGACTAACCTGGCTCCACCACTGCCTGGCCGTGTGCCCCCAGGCAGTGAGTCTCTGAGCCTGTTTTCTCATCTGCAGCATAGGGAGAGAAGTGCCTACCTGGGACGGTTACTGTGGGCATTAAATGACCTGAATTCTGGAAATGACTTAGCCCAGTGCCTGTGTGTCGTAGATGCTCAATGGATGTGATTTCCCGCTTCGGCCTCCTCCCCTTTCTCAAGTCCCTTCTTGCTCCGTTTTCTTGTGCTCCCTAATACTCTGTGGACCCCCTGGACCTGCGGGAGGGGAGCTGCTGCCCTCACACCTCCTGGGATCACGGCCCTCACTAGAAAAAGCCAAGCAGAATGCCCGCAGGAAGGAAGTCCTGTTCCCCCTGCCCTGCCCCATCGGGCAGGCGCTGGCCCGATGCAGGCCGCCTCCTGGGCTCAGCACTCCTGGTTCCAGGGCCTTCTGTCTCGCGTCTCCCCCCAGACGATGGAGCTCGCTCGCAACCCAGCCATGATGCAGGAGATGATGCGGAACCAGGACCGGGCCCTCAGCAACCTGGAGAGCATCCCTGGGGGCTATAACGCTCTCCGCCGCATGTATACGGACATCCAGGAGCCCATGTTCAGTGCCGCCAGGGAACAGGTGGGGCCGGCGGTGGGGGCTGGGGGGCCGGGTGTCTGGGCTCCGGACCCCTATCCTCAGGCCCAGGTGAGCCTGGGGTGCTGTCCGCCCCTCTTTCCTTGCCCAGTCCCCTGAGGATGGGCCTTGGCTCTTAAAAACAGTTCTCCCGGTGACAGCCAGGCATGGTCCCGACTCGCCCTGGGCTGAGGCGCGAGGGCCGAAGGTAGCAGAGTTGCCCAGGGAAGTGCGTGAGGCGTGGAGTCCACGGCATTTGCCGTGTGTCTGACGGACTTCTTGCACCAGGGGCTCACAGGATGTGGGGTGGGCCTGGGGTCAAACAGCCTACCCGGCACAGTGTCTTAAGTGTGGTCTGCAGGTCACCTGCGGCAGCATCACCTGGGGAGCTTGTTAATGATGAGATTCCTGGTCCCCACCTTAGAGCTACGTCCCAGCCCCGGCTCTGGAATCAGGCCCTGGGAATACACACTGTTAAAAACGCTTTATCAACTCTTTCCAAATACACAACCAATGTAGACAAAGATAGCATTCTCTGTATCTGCATTGCCCTGACGGATGTTGCCATATATAGTTTCAGGGCCTTTTTTGGTTCTTTTTTTGAAGTTTAATTTACACTGACTACGTTATGTAGTTACATGTTTCAAAATTCAAAAGGTGTGCAGGGAAAACAACAGCGGGTTTTAAAAGTAACATAGGAGAGGGACCCTTCTGTTTTCATCCGCAGGCCACCTCTTTCTTACCCGAGAGGTAACAAATGTTGCTATTTTGTACATGTGCCTAGACATATTTAAGGCAAACATTTACTTATTTGCAAATACGACATTACAGATAGAATTGCACCTTCACCTTGCCCTCCCCGTCTTCTGGCTCTTCCCCCCCACAGTTAACGACCACCCTGGAGTTGGTGCTTGTCACTTTGATTCTTTTATTACCTATGCACGTAGCTGTAAATACGCGATAGTATTGTTTTGCATATTTTTCTACCTTATAGACGTGACGTCATGCTTTCCGTATAATTTTTAATTTGCTGCTTAAACGTTTTAAAAACATTTAATTGAAGGATAAAAGTGACAGAAAGATATACATATCAGAACCGTACAGTTTAATGGATTTTCCCAAACTGAACATCCCCCTAACCAGCGCCCAGGTGGGAGGATGGCATCTCGTGTTATTTTTTCGCTGTGGAAAGGAAAAAGCACGGAGTCCTAGGTGGCCCGTGCTATCCCAATGCTGTCTCTTGTCCTGCACCAGGTCTCCATAGATGAGTGGTGTCTTGCTGACTGCTTGGCCTCACTGGTCTGTCTGTCTGTCTCTGCAGTGATACCACATTGTCTTAAAAAGTCTGGGCATCCGGTGGAATGAACCACCACCCCCGCCCCCACCGTCTTCAATAGCATCTTTGTTAGTCTTAGCATTGCTCTTTCAAATTACTGCTTGTAGGGATCAACTGTGAATTTTTAAAGGATTTTTTTGGTTTATTTTAGGTTTTATTTACGTAATTAAAGATATCTATCGGAGTAATGCATTCACCTAGTTAAAAAAAAAGCAAGTAGTTAAGAGAGACTTATAACAAGTGCTCCAGCTAATTCTGAGGGACCCTAAGATGTGAGAACCTCTGGTTTAGCACGTAGCACATAGCATTTGGCACCAGCAAACCTGGTTTCAATGCCTGATGATGGGATTCTGAGTGAGTTGCTTGACTGCTCTGCACCTCAGCGTCCATAGCCGTGGATCATTTGGCCTCAGGGTCCCTTTGTACTCTTAAAATGACTGCGGGTCCCAGAGAGCTTTTGTTTTTGTGGGTTAGATCTGTTGGTATTCACTGTGTCTGAAATTAAAATGAAGAGATTTTTAAAAATATCTGTTAATTCATTTAAAAAGAATAAATCAGTTGTACCCAAATATAAATAGCACTTCCTTTTGAAAATAACTTTATATGGAGGAAAGAGGGGACTTGCTTTACATTTTTGTGGCTACAAGAGAGCTGGATTCTCAGCTCTGCTGTATTCAGCCTGTTGCGCTGTCAGCGTTATGTAGCTTTTGGGAAACTCCACTCAGAATGAAAGTGAAAATGGCAAATGATGTCTTAGAATTACAAAACCAGTTCTGAACCTTGCAGGGGCCCTAGTCCCACACTTGGAGAACTAGTGCGTTAGAGGGATATTGTAAACATTTGAATACACGTAGCAGGCATGTAGTAGGTGCTCAATAAATGGCAGCTGTTACCACGACAGGCAGTTCAGGAAAAGAGATTCAGTCTTTAGTGTGTACCAGGAAGAAGAAAGCAGGGGGCCAGTACTCGGCCGGTAAGCAGAACAACAGGCAATCTGAAACAGACAGATTAAAGCTGTGGTGCCAGGACCCTGGCATCGGCTGAGGTGTAGGAACCACAGCTCAGCAGGGCAGCCTTTGGTCAGCCCTGGTCCCCATGACCCACTGTGAATAAACAGAAGTGACTGGATGTGAAACCCCACGGTGGGGAGGGGCTGAGGCTGCTCAGAAACCTGCTAGGTCAGGACCGCCTGGGGACTCAGGAGAGGGGAAACGGGCCTGGGATATCCCTTGGACAGATTTCTTTCCTGGGAGCTGGCGGGCCCGGAGGGAGGATGTCCAGGGTCCAGACCCTGAGCTGGTCCTGGGTGACACAGTGGGAGCCGGGCCTTGAGGGGAACTTGAGCTGAAGCAGCCTGTACAGGGAGGTAGGCCGTGGAGGGAGGGGAAGGAGGAGACCGGAGACCGAAGGAAGGTGTGCTCAGCAGGAGATGTGTGCCACTGTGCCCCCGGAGGGACAGCCAACTAGGGGACCCAGGCCGTCAGGGAGAGGCTCTGGGGAGTCACTGTTGGACCAAGGTGGTTGGGAACGGGGCAATTCAGGGTTGACATAAAAGCCAACGCTTAACTTATTGAGCACCTACGCGTGTCAGGCACGGGGCGCAAAGCTGAGCCCCACGTTGTCTGCAGCCCTGAGGAGCTGAGGAAGAGAAGGGTCTCCCTGCACACTGGGAAGCGGGTGTGTCAAGTGCTGTAGAGCACGCAGGAGACTGGAGACCACGCCCTGAGAGCCACGGGGAGACGGGAGGTTCTGGTTATCCGAGGGGCTCAGTCATCAGTCATTAGCAGCAGCCATCTCCCACCCTGCAGGACGGGGGTAGCGGGGGTAGCGCTGCCCATTGTGGGGCTCCAAGTCAAGCTGAGGGCCTCTGAGGTCCTGGATGTCTCTCCCTTTTCTGGGAAAGGGGAGGGAGGCCGTCCGTTGAGAGGAAAGACAGGGCGGAGGCCTTGCCCCGATTTGTTTTCAGTCCTTAACCCGAAACCTTTCCCTTCTCCCAGTTTGGCAACAACCCCTTCTCTTCCCTGGCCGGGAACTCCGACAGCTCGTCCTCCCAGCCTCTGCGGACTGAGAATCGAGAGCCCCTCCCTAACCCCTGGAGCCCCTCGCCCCCCGCCTCCCAGGCCCCCGGGTCCGGTGGGGAGGGCACCGGAGGATCGGGGACCAGCCAGGTGCACCCGACAGTCTCGAACCCCTTTGGGATCAATGCGGCTAGCCTGGGGTCAGGTATGTCCTGGGTGGAAGGAGCTTAGTGGGGTCACCAGGGCTGTCCCTCAGGCCCAGGACTGAATGGGGTTCACACTGCTCCACAGTATTGAAGACAGAGGTGAGACTGCATTAAAGCCACAGAGAGGGCTCTGCAGCCTGGGGCCATGGCTCCACCCCTGAGAGGGTGACGCTTGGTTCTGGCCATGTCCTGATGTCCCCAGGAGTGACCGAAATAGTGACTCGTGACTATACCAGGCCTCACCTAAGCTCTTTCAGCATGACTGGGAATGGGGGTGTGGGAGAGGAATCAGGGCAGACCTGGGGACAGGCAAACGGGAGGCTAGGGGAGAGGACAATGCAGGACTGCCCTGGACAGATGTGCAGGTTATGCACTGCACAACCCCTGGGCCTGCCCCATTTATCTGAACCCTGGGGATGTGTTTGGTAGATGCCCTGATTTCTCAGTACCCTGGGGGGGGGGGCATCGCATCTCGATTGGGAAAGTCCTTTCCCCTCTATGCATCAGTTCTCTTTTTTATAAAATAGGGGACATGAACCTGGCCATGGTTTCAGAACTGTGCTCCTGAGTCCCTGGGGGCCTGGGCCATCTCCAGGCTGAGGGAGGACCAAATCAGAGAGGCTCCAGGCCTCCTCCGGCTCCAAGCAGACCACCGACATAACTCGGTTTCTGAGTGGGATTTGGTTTGAGGAAAGGGTCTCTGCCACTAAGACAAGTTTGAAAACCATTGATCGTGGTGATTTTAGTCAGATCCTTTCCGAGTCTAATGTTATCCGAGCTCGTGGCGGGAACAACCTAGAGGGGCAGGAATCAGACCCAGTTTCCAAATGGCGCTCTTTAGCAGGGCAGGTGGGAAAGGGGCCAGGCAAAGCGGGGAGAGACGACCTTGGAGTCAAGGGCGTCCTGGCCACGCCCGGTCCCTGGGTGCCCATCGTACCGTTGCCTTTCTGAGCCCCGGAACCACTCAGCGTATAAAGGCAGGTAGGCTGACGTGAGGCCTCTGGTTTCCATCCGGACCCCTTTCCTCCTGTTTGGTTTCTTTTTTCCTGCTTGCTGTAGGGATGTTCAACAGCCCGGAAATGCAGGCCCTGCTGCAGCAGATCTCTGAGAACCCCCAGCTGATGCAGAACGTGGTCTCAGCCCCCTACATGCGCAGCATGATGCAGACGCTTGCCCAGAACCCCGACTTTGCCGCTCAGGTATGGAACTGGCCCCCGGAGTTGGGGGGTGCCTTGGGGGCGGTTACTTGGGGCCAAAACACTCCGGACGCAGACTGCCCGCGTCTGCAGGTCAGGCTCTCCCACTCCCAGCTGTGTGAGCTGAGCAAGTTGCTGAGCCTCCCAGTTTCCTCATCTGTGAGCTGGTAATACAGCAGTTCCTCGAAGACTGGTGAGGAACAGGAGTCAGTGCATAGGAGGTGCTTTGAGACATCATAGGCACCATGCCCTTGGGGATGTCAGCTCTCGTCATCTGTCACGCAGGGCTGAGCAGCCTGGCTCCTGACACTTGTCATTGCCCGGAGTGGTGTTCTTTTCCCTCACTGTCCCACTTAGGCCACCAGGACGCTTTGAGATCTGTCCAGGCCTCCTGCAGGCGTAGTGGGGCTGAGGGAGGCGAGGCTGTGGGGGAATTGTCAGGGTGGGTAGGCCCCGGCCGCCCCTGACTACCTTGACCCTGGCAGATGATGGTGAACGTCCCGCTGTTCGCGGGGAACCCCCAGCTGCAGGAGCAGCTCCGCCTGCAGCTCCCGGTCTTCCTGCAGCAGGTGAGTGAGGAGCCTGAGCCCAGAGGGTGGGACTTCAGGGACCCTCAGGGTGTGGGCTGCCTCCTGCTACCTGCTGCCTCTCTGCTCCTCTCCTTCCCCACCAGATGCAGAACCCGGAGTCGCTCTCCATCCTCACCAACCCCCGGGCCATGCAGGCGTTGCTGCAAATCCAGCAGGGGCTGCAGACCTTGCAGACCGAGGCCCCCGGGCTGGTACCCAGGTGAGGGCGGGAGCAGATAGTCGGTGAGGTTCTGGCTGCTTCTCCCTCCTCCACTCAGACCAGCTGTTGTGTCCCTGAGGGTCTGTTTTCCCGTTTCCTCCAACTGCTTTTCCTTCTGGACCTCATGTGCCCATCCCTTTCTCAGAGGCCATCTCTCACCTTTTGGTCTCTCCCGCCCACAGCCTTGGCTCCTTCGGGATGTCCCGGACGCCTGCGCCCTCGGCAGGCAGCACCGCAGGGCCTGTGCCTGAGGCCCCCACCTCCTCGCCGGCCCCGCCGGCCACATCCTCTCCAGCTGGGGCTCCCAGCGCCCAGCAGCAGCTCATGCAGCAGATGATCCAGCTTTTGGCAGGAAGTGGAAACTCACAGGTGCGTGGGGCGGCGGGGGTGGGGGCCGGGACTGCCCCTTCGAGCCTGGCGGTGTCAGGGGTGGTGTCAGGGGTTGGGGTCAGGGGTCACAGCAGAATGGAGCCAGCAGAGCAGGCTTTGGTCAGCCAGGCCTGGTGTTCGCTCCTGGCCTGCACTTTCCGGCCCTCGGCAAGTTGCTGGTGGGGCCCGTTCCGTTTCCACAGCTGTGAAATGGAGATGAGAATCGTACTGGCCCTGACCATGTGCTAGGTACTATTCTAAGGCCTTATGGAGAAGAGCTCATTACTTTATTCCTCACAACTGCCTTACTTATGATCATTTCTGGGTTATAAAAGGGGAAAACTGCAGTCCAGAGAGGTGAAGTGGCTTGTTCATCACCTCGCTGGTGCGTAATGGAGCCAAGATTCAAACGGAGGCATGCTGGCCCCAGAATTTATACTTTAACCACTGTCTTACACCACTTCTGCTTATAGCCAAGGATTCTTTTGCTAATTAAAGCAGCCTCCATCTCTGAGATGAGAGAGGGGGATTCTGGGAAGTGAGCTGACTAGAGTCCTGGGCCACAAAGTCAAGGCCGGGGGTGTGGGGGAGGAGTGGGGAGAACCTCGGTGAGCCCCGTAACCTTTCTCCAGTCTCCATGACTCATCTGGGAGAAGGCTTTCAGCAGAAATGTAAGTGTGTCCAGATCGGTGCGAGGCAGTCCGTGCTAGGGCTGAGCTAAGCGATCCCCGGGGCCCGGCCCAACTTAAATCCTGAGAAGCAGCACCGAGGGCTGAACGGCGCTTTTGTTCTGAGTGTCAGGGGTCCTCTGTGACCCACTGCAGGTCCTTTCCTTCCCTGCATCAACTGTCCTTCTCTCAGCGGCCGGCTGGCCTGTGACGTCTGGGCTCCTTCCAGCTCTGAGAGTCTTCTGTCTGAGCTCTGGGCTAGTGCTTCCTCAGCATCCCGGAAAACACTTCCAGGAAACGTTTACAGGCGTGTCAGACATGAAAAACCTGCTCTTTTGTAAACATAGACAATTGTGCTTGTTGATTGGTTACAATTAAATAGGTTCTTTCTTCCTGGAGCCCCTTCTCTGGCCTTTCAGATGGCTGCATGTGTGATGGCGGCCAAGAGGGGTTTGGGGAGGGCGTTCAACCTGCACCTTGTCGACCGCAGAGCATTTGGCTTTTGGGGTGCCTGTTAGCACCTCCAGACTGTCGATGGAAAGCAGTTAGGAATATAGGCCAATCGAGGCCTATCTGTTACTTCGAAATTTTAAGAAAGACACCCCTGCCTTATTATTACACAGTTGTTTAGTGACTTGGGGCACAGGCTCCTTGGTCCCCATTTGCAGCCCACCCCTCCCTGCCCCCTGGTTGACTCAGGACGTTCGAGAAGACCCACTGGTCGTCTTCTCTCCATAAGCCTCCCGCCACCGAGAGGCCCCGGGGGGATCCTGTGCCCACCTCACGAGGCCTGTGCCCTGCAGGTGCAGACGCCGGAAGTGAGATTCCAGCAGCAGCTCGAGCAGCTCAACGCCATGGGCTTCATCAACCGCGAGGCCAACCTGCAGGCCCTGATTGCCACAGGAGGGGACATCAACGCAGCCATCGAGAGACTGCTGGGCTCTCAGCTGTCCTAATCCTGCGGCTGTGCCTCCCGTCTCTCCCTTCCCTGGATGCCAGCCTGTGGCTCCCGTCAGCCCTCCCTGCCTTCTTCAGCTTGTCGCCCCTTCCGTCTTCTCCCGTCCCCTCCAGACAGCAGGGTGGCTTTAGTGGCGTCGGTGGGCCCCGACCCCGTAGCTCTGAGAGCTTTGGTTCTACTTCTGCATCGCTCACAGAATCTTCTCTCCTGCTCCTGCCTGAGCAGAGCTTTTTAAACGGTTTTCACACTTTTGCTGATGGGCCCCACAACTGCCTCCTGCAGCCTTTGAACTGCTCTGTGGCCGTGCGCCCGAGTTGAAGGAGGAACTCGCGCTCTGGTTTACTGAAACAGGGTCTTCTGTCTGGACCACTAGGGTTTGCTTCTTATGTTTACTTGTGGTAACTCTTCCTTCTTTCCCTCTCCAGCCCCTCCCTCCCGCAGCCTAACCAGCGCTAGGATGCCATACTTGGAAGGAAGGCCGGGTGGAACAGGCTGGGGGTTTCCTCCTCACCCCTGGTCTGGGTCACTTCCGCCAGCACGTTTTCAGGGGGTCTGTTGGGACTCCCAGGGGAGATGAGACAGACAACCCTCTGAACAGGGATTAACGAGCCCTGGGCCAGACCAGGGAAGACTGGCGTGGAAGAGGACATGAGGTTTTGGAGGAAGGGAATGGACAAAACAGCCCGAGTAAAAGGCTTGGAAGTTGAAACTGACAGGGAGTGGAAGTGCTAATTATTCTTTTAAGAGTCCTGGCAGAGGACACTTAGCGATAGATGCTCATGGAACTGGAGTTGAAAGGGGCTCAATGAAGCTAACCCGTGTGGCTCACAAAGGCTCACACTGGCTCCGTTTCCTCGAACACACGTGCCGTGTACACACTCACACACATGTCCGTGGAGCCAGGGCCTGCCCGTGTCCTTCGGTACCCGTGATTTGAGCCCCCCACAAAAGACGTGAAGAGGATGGGTGTGTGTGTGGGGGGTGGGTGCATGCACGCACACACGTGCGTGGGAGTTGAGTGGGTGGGGGGGGTAGATTCTTGGCTGATTTCTGGTTCAGAACTTCCTCCTCCAGAGAAGTAGGCAGAAGGGCCAGTCTCGGGCAGGAATACCTACCGCCCAGAGAGCCAGGCCCCTTGGCCCCTCAATGCGGGGTGACCCACGGATAGTATGGATACCCTCTCTGAAGCTGCCCGGCTGTGACCAGCTCCCTCATAGTCATTGCTTTCGGGGAATGGTAGATAGTCTTTCCCTGCAGAGCCCCTGCCCTTTGAGTTTTTCACTCTTTCTTCCAGGCCAGAAAGGGCTATTTGAGGAAGGAGAGGAGAGGAGAGGGGGGCAGTGGTGCCTTTGATCTGGAACTGGACATGGTTGGAGCACAGGAGGCTCGTTTCACCTCCACTGCTACTTAGCCCTGCTGTTTGGACCCGTGGCTGAGAATATGGAGGCACAAGGAACAGAATTTCCTCCCTGTGGGAAAGGGTCCCAAGCAATCCAGAGAGGATGTCTGCGTGGCTTCCCTCCCGCCTTCAGCCCCCACACTGGCCTTTGTAAATAAATGGTGTGGTCTTTGTGTGAGGCTGTCTTGGTGCTTGCTTTCCGTGGGAGGAGACTGGCTGAAGAGAACTTGGTTTAAGAGGGTTTTCATAAAGTGGGTCGAGGGGAATTTGAAGTTGGGTTCAGTTACCACTGATATTAGGAAACATTGAGGGCTAAGGGATAAGCAGTCATGGGGATAGCTGTAGGCCTGGGTTTAGGAATAGGAATTCCTAAAGAGGAATTCCTCCATTCCCCGTCCCCATTGGCCAGCCTGGGAGAGGAATGTATGAAGGTGTTGGGAAGATGGCGGCATCATTACTTCCATCCTCTGATCTTTCAGCAAGACTGCCCTCTCCCTCCCTCAGGCAAAAGGGACAAAACAAACGCTTGCATCCAAACCGTTTGCAGGTGGAGTTTAGTAGTTCTTGGTCTTGAGCCCTGAGACTAAACCTGGCTTGACCGCTAACTGTGTGAACTTGAAGTCTTTTCGCGTGTGAGGTTTTATCCCTTGCACAGTGAGGTTGTGTGCTGGAGTTCTATGATATATGAATACCGTATTTCTCCATGTATAAGATGCAACCTTTTTCGAAAAATTTGGGGTCTAAAACCTGGATGTGTCTTATACAGTGGTAGATTTTTTTACTTGCATTTCCTGCAAGTGATGAGGAGTTGTATGAATTTTATGATGAATAAAACTTGAGTTCAATAACTACATGTAATACATTTTTTTCAAATTTCAGGCCCCAAAATTAAGGTGCGTCTTATACATGGGAGCATCTTATACATGGGCAAATACGGTAATCCATGGGTAGGAGGTACCATTTCTGATCATGGTAGACCGGGTGTTTCAGACCAGCACTCTCACTAGAAATTCTAAAAGCTGGGTGAAATACTTAAACAATCTGAAAAGCATCAGAGGACCAAGACTGGCTGGGAATCCAGAGAAGAAAGCCTAAAGACCCTTTGACCTGGGGGCTTTGGCTAATTGGGAAAAGGTTGCTGAGAGGATTATTTCAAGGGCCTCGAAGGATGAAGCTAGGGGAACAAAAAGTTGGAATTTGGGGACGGCTCAAGATGGGGACGCTAGTAAAGCTTCAGCAGTTGAATCAGTACCCCTGAGGATGAATCATGAAACAGCCAATTCCATTCTGCCTCCTAGCCTCCCACCATCCTGGGGGCGGTCCAGAAGTTCTCAAGCCTTGAACTTGGAATAAGATAATCCCAGATGCTTGGTAGAAAGCTTGAATGTAACATCAACCTAGATCTCAAAAGTGTTGTGATAAATAATTTTTCAACTAGAGCATCAACCACAATAAAAATTAATCAAGCCCCGGAAGAGCTAAGGCAATATAAGTGAAACCAAACAAATGACGGTAAGTAGACCCACGGCAAATCCATATATAGGAATTATGCAGAAATGAAAACAACACTGCTTACTGTTTCAGCAAAATAAAAGCCAAGCTTGGAAATTTCAGCAGAGATCTGAAACTACAGCAATGGATGTAGCACAATTAGAAAAGGACCAAATAGGAATTTTAGCTAGAAAAATATAATAAAGTAAAGTCTCAGTAGATGAGTTTAATAGCAGATTAGACATGGCTGAAGGAAGAATTGGTGGGTTCTCCAAACAGGTCAGAAGAGCTACACAGAATGAAAGTTGGAATAATAAGGAGGATGGGAAATGCAGAAAAGACCAACTTGGGCTAATGTTTAACTGGAGTCCTAGAAGAGAAGGGAAGAGGCAACCTGAAGACATAATGGCAGGATTATGTGGACTTGATGAAAACCATCAGTTGACAGATTCAGGAAGCCCAATGAATTAAGCTTGCACTCTGCAAAAAGCAAAGGAAAAACGTTTTAAAGCAAGTGGAGAATAAAAGATGGTTTATGTTCAAAGCAGCATACAACTCAGAGAGTGAATCTTAATATATGCAAACTGAAAACATAGATGTCATTTGGGAGGTAGGAGATCCCAGGATGGAATGAAGACCGTAACCAAAGAATCTGTGTCACAAAGGTATGAAATAATGTCATCCAAGGGAGGAAGAGTGGGTGCTGGCCTAGGTAACTTGGAAATTAGTGGAATTTGCAAGACAAGGCAAAAGGAATTGCACATACTCTGGTTGGTGCATGTCCCATGGATGTACTGTTAACTGTGACACTACGTAGACACTAGAACTGAACAATTAAGTAGGGAGCCAGGTGTCTCACTGCTGGAGTTCACAGGTAAGCAAGGGGATGAGGCTAGAGTGATGTATGTATTGGGTTGTCGGAAAAGGCATGACGCATTTTTGCAACGAAAAACAAAAACTACGTCATGACTTTTCCGACAACCCAATGGTAATGGTTGGAGGTGGAGATGAAACTCCCTCATTGTGGGCTTGGCTGACGTTTTCTCATGCTTAGATGGATTTTGCATTTTGACAAGCATGTCACAGAAGTGATGTGCCTTCTCAGCACATCATATCAGGGTACACAGGGTCAGGATGCCATTGCCGGTAATGCTCACCTCGATCACTCAGTTAAAAGGGCGTGGTGTCTGGCTTCCCCTCTGTAAGGTTATTATTTTTACCTAGGCACTTAACAAATACCTTGAAGGAGATACTTTGAGACTATGCAAATATCCCGTTTCTCAAATTTTTATCCCCTAATTTCAGCATCCATTGTCAGGTCTAGCTGCAACAATTGTGACACCAGTGTTTTAATAGTGCTTTTCTATTTTCTTCATTCCTTCCATAGTTGCTGGTTGCAGTCCTGTAAGGAAGAGCTGTCCTTTGTCCCCCGTTTGTAGGTTTGTTTTATGCACTTTATTATAATAAATACACTTTTCAAACACACATGGGACATTTACAAAAATTAACCATATACTGGGAAATACAACACATCTCGATGACATAATGCCATCATGGTGCCCTGCCCAGATTCTTTTTACTGGGCCATATGCCCATACCCAGCTGCTGCTGGGTTGATTGCTAATTGCTCACGGATAGCCTCTTGACCAGAAGACCGCCCTCAGTCAACAGGGGGGAGAATTGCTGGAGAATTTACGCCACCCCCAACCTTGGGCAGCCCACAATGACTGACTGACAAGGGCTACGCAAGGCCAGTTCTTTGCCTCAAAAGTTTGACCTGTTTTGAGGTGTAACTCAGGCCGCAGAGCTCCCTGGGATCAGGCTGAGGTGGACTCAGACCACATTCTCATTCTCGCTTGGCTTTGTACCCTGCCCTACCCTGCTCCCTCACTCCTCCCTTCTCAGGGCGTTCTCTCAATAAGTCACTTGCACAAGAGCCTCCCTCTCAGGCTCAGCTTCTAGGGAACCTGACCTAAGACGGGTACAGTCCCTGCTCTCTGAGATTCCTTCTGAATTATCTGCGTGTATAGGGGGAAGGGGGCTCCGGAGGGCAGGGTCTCCTCCTTGTTGCCAGGGGCAATCACAGTCTTTAAAAATAGCTTCTGCTTTCACTCTGAGCAAACAGTTTTTGTTTCTGTCTTACTGTTGTTTTTTTTTGTTTGTTTGTTTTTTAAGATTTTTATTGGGGAATTGGGGAATGGGAACAGCGCTAGGGAATTGGGGGAAGGGGAACAGACAAGTTGCTGTCGTTTTGTTTTTCAGTCTAGTTGTGGAGGACGTTGCTTCACTGGCCCAAGTTGACACCATCATTGCGCTCTTCCCGGGCAAGACAGATCAGTCGCCGGCTTCTGGACGGCCGCTCACTGCGGCTGCTGGCCGCTCACGCTGGCTGCTGGCCGCTCACGGTAGCCCATGGCAACCCACTGCCACGGGGGCTGCAGCCTACACCGTCGCCGGCAACTCAGGGCAGCCCAGCTCCAGGTTGAGCCGTTGTTCAGCATCTTAGCTCTAGAGGGCAGTGTCACTGGCCCTCATATGTGGGATCCGAACCGGGGCCTCCTGGCGTCCCAAGCCAGCTCTTAACCAACGCACAACTCGGCCGGCCCTCTGTCTTACTGTTTGATACAATTAGAAGCGCAAACACTTTGCTTTGGAGCTGAGAGTTACTAGGAAGAAAATGACACAACCCTGATAAGTTAGGCCTGAAGCCTCTTCCTCCTCTTAGTTACCTCAAGACTCTTTCTCTTAGGGGGCTTCTCTCTAGAGTTCCAGGCCTCAGGGGCTTAAAAAGCCTTCTCAGGCCTCTCAAGGTCTCACCCCCCACAGGCTAACCCCTAGTCTTAGAGACGGAAATTCATACCGGAGTTAGAAAAGATGAGCCGATGTTCAGAGAGACAAAGAGGGAGAAGGGGAGGAAGAAAGTGGATGCATCTACAAAAAAAAAAAAAATCAAGAAAGATAAAGACCTGGAATCATCAGGCTCATACGTGCCACCCACAAAACTGAAATGCGCTTTATGTACAAGCTGAAGGATTACGCTCTCTGTTCCCCTGGCTTCTGCCCAGACCTGCCCTTCGAGTCCCCCCAAGGGCCCATCGCGCTCTTCGCTGACTAATGGAGCCTGAGACCCTGCCATGCTATTCAGGGTCCCTCCTTCCTATGGAGTCCAATGCCTCGTTTTCCCCCACTAAGTTCTGCCTTCTGTGGCAGCAGCTACACAGGTATTGACAGAACCAGGCCACACACCAGTGGCACGAATTGGTCTGGGAGGTGGGCGTGTTCAAGTCACTTCCCAAAATGTTCACGTGCTTCCTGGGCCTCAGTGAGCGGGTCCTTGAGTATTGGCGTTGCTTCTGTCTCGTCCTAGGAGATTGCAAAGAGGTTGGGGCCCCCTCGGAGTACTGGTCCTCATTATCCTTGTGATCCTGGTCTTCCTCCTTCCTCTTTTTCCATCTCTTTATTTGGAAAAGGACAACCTTGCTCCACTTCTGCTTCTTGGACTGAGCGAGGCTGTCATCTTCTTCCTTGGGGAATCCGAGCGCAAGGAATGAAGTTGCTCTCCAATGACCCAACCCCATTATACACCGGACTTCATTGGGGTGGGGGGAGTGAGGCAGAGAATGACAGATCAGAGGGAAAACTTAAGGCGAGCACCCCCCCCACACCCCCCCGGGTGTGCGTACAGGT